CAATTCATGAAATCATTGATAATAATTGGATTGAGTTATGTTTATAAGAGTAGACTACGAGTTTGGAATCCTCACGGTTATCGTAACCACTGGTTAAAGACTTTCCATTCAGATAGCTGAAAATTGTTCCCAATGTAGTACTTGCATTCATTCTTTGTTTTCTCTAGAAATTCTGAGTTTACGAATTTTTCATGATTTCTCCTCTCTGATTTATGTCTTCTCGAATGTTATCATCTATCTCGAATCATTTTCACTACTACTATGAATACGGTTACTATCTACACTACTCTTGAACCCTCAAAGCCAAAAAAAAAGATATACACGAAGGAACATACTGCACTAGGCATAAGAGACGGGCATGAAAAATATAGGTTTGAACTGGAAAGCAGAGTGAGTTAATGAATTGAGTGAAAAAGCTGGTTGGGCATCTGTACTCCATTCAGGGGTAACAGGCATAAGTAATTAAGTAACTAAGTAAGTAAGTAAGTGCATAAGTGCATAAGCAAGTAAGTAAGAAAGTAAGTAAGTAAGTAAGTAAGTAAGTAAGTGAGTGAGTGAGTAAGTAAGGACGGAAGGAAGGAAGGAACGTAGTAAGGTAGTCATAAATGTTGACAAATCAAGCTAACTAAAACTGGACAAAATACATTTCTTGGATTTCATCACGATCCACTGTCCTAGGACATATTTTAAAATAACTGAATATGATCATTATTCAATATATAGAGGATGTATACATTGTTTTAGTTGACTAGTTTATTAAATATTTAGGTAACACTAAATCTAATTATCATACGTTTTGGAACTGCAATTGGCACATCCTGTCCAGATTGCTACAGTCATGCTTTCATGTTGTAAGCTTTATTTGCAGAGGCTGATATTGGCTAGCAGATATATCCAACTACAGATGAAACTCCAGTCTTGGATTCCACTGCTAGCCAGCATCCATCTCTGTCAGTGATAATAATATATAGTTTACATTTTTCTCCTATTAAGGAAGATAAAATGTAGTCGTTTAATTTCAGTTAAACTTTTGTGTGTGTTTAAAAAATGATGTTTTTTCTTTGTAAAGATTTATACTACTTGTAGTTCATTTTTATAGTAGGCTAATATCAGATATATTTTTTTCTTTAAAAAATTGTGCATTAAATAAAAATTACGTCATGATTTTAGAAATTAGGAATAAATAATGAAATCATTTTTAAATTCCATCAGTTTTTACGCTTTTTAAAAAACTGGTCAATTTTAAATATTGACATCATGAATCCATAAATGTTAGACTACTATTCGGAAACTTGGAAACACTAAGTAGAAAACGTGTCACGTATGAATCAGTGATCATTGAAGATAATGAATGAGGTTGCACAAGATAGCAGATTGATGAAAGTTTGATATTAACACCGTTAGATGCCCGATCACTGGATTAGAGATTAAGCGTTCATGCACAAGACTGAAGGTCCTTGGTTCGACTACCACGAATGAGAATCTAGGATGGGCATTGTTAATGAGCTCCACACTCGGACGAAACCGCCGTCTAGCGCTCCGAGGTTTCTGATGATGGTCTAACATGGATCGACTCACGATTTCAATTAACCTCAATAATCTCCGCAGTCCTATAGTGAAAATTTCAATTATAAATGTTCAGTAATATGACACGGTATCATTCATCATTAACATATGACCTTTCACTTCATCTATCATAATTCTAGTATAACATTTAAGGATGATAATATTGAAAAGCACATTGTGGAAATCAAAATCGACTGATTAAAATGACAATTATAAATTATTTGAAAAATCACAAACAAAAAAGTTTTAATTTGATTGATATGAGTTAAATGTTCAATCTGTAGAAATTACACTGAAGCATGATTCATGTATTTTTATATATTTAGTTGTGTATTGAGAGATTGGATTGAAATGAAATTCAGACGTCTTCTGAGTATCTATACATGTATTTGCGCAAACAAACTTTGAATATCGACGAGTATTCATAGTGTACAAGTAACAGTGGTTGAACACATGTCCATACACCGACTCAGTGGTCTGACGAATGGGGCGTTCGCGCGCAATACCGAGGGTCGTCGGTGCGAATCCCACGGAGTGCAGGAGCCGTGGATGCGCACTTCCGAGGAGTCCCACAGCACACAGCTTTCTAATGGTGGTCTAACATTGAACGATTCATGGTTTCAAAAATGTTTAACTTAACAATCTTTACAACCCAGTAATACATATCTAATATCTAAAAAAGTACAAATAATGTTCAGTAGTCAAAGGAGACCACAGAATAGACCAAAAACAGTACTCCATTTCGATTGTTGTTTACAAGATATGAACAGTAACGTTTATTGAGGCTCTCATCATTTACTGAAATCAATTCAACAATACTCATTTCCATGAATGACATGTTTTATGTAATTGATCAATGAAGATATTGTAGAATTTCACTGTTCAGTATGCAAATAATAAGACGAAATGTACCAAAACTCATCGATGAAACAAATCTTCCTTTTACAATCTCATGTTTAATCAATAATAAGTGTTTGTTTGAGCAGATAGAATATCAATGCACCAATATAATTCATAGTCATACAGTAGTGGAATTCACTTACAATTAAAATAAATTCATGAGTATGAAAATTTTATTGTTTGATAAGAAAAATTCTAAACATTGTAAACAAATTATATGAAAAAATTTAAAGACATTTTGATGAGAAAAAATATCCAAGCTTAATTAAAAATAAACCTAGCTAGCGTGACAAAATCGCAATTGCTTTTTATCCTACTTCAATCAATTATAAGTAGTTTAGTTTAATTGTGAAAAGTTTTGGCTTTTGGGTACGATGTCAGGTCCCTGGATGGTTGAGCTATAGGACTAAGCTATACTGTTAACGCCAAGGTGTTAATACCGTGAAAGTGTCTAGTTCTCCTGAAAACTAATATAAAATTACCGTTGAAACATAATTTATGTGTTTTATGTAATAATATGCATTTGCTATTCAACACTCTGATAAATATTACACAAATAAATTGAATTTATGAAGTTATTGACGAACTGTTTGTTATCTGTTTATTCCAAAAGCAAATCGATTGGTTTTGTCAGTATATTCTAAATGTGTGAACAATTATCAGATTTATTCTAAAATTCGCAAAATGTGGTCTCTGGATTTTTTGTAAAATTTAATTTGATGACGACACTGCTGTTTGGAGACTGTATAAATTTTCTAAAACTATATATTAATCTAAATATAAAGGTTTGTATCATGAATTGAAGTGTGATAATACGATGAAATGAGATTTCTTGTGGACTGACGTCCATAACGCTTTAATAAACCGAGATTATCTATTGAAAATTGAAACTGTTCGGTTCAGTAATAAACCTCACACACAATTTGAAATATGTCATCATCTTGGTCGGATAAAAAACTTTATGTACTTTTGTGCTCCATAAAAATAATTGAATTTGTTCATGTGCTTGGAGACTGTTTGTGTGCACAAACTAAAACCATTGTTGAGAGATCGATCGCCGAACCTTTGATCCAAGGGTCTAATCCACAAGAACATGGAGCACCGTAGGGAGATGCAATCTCACGGTAGCTAGTGACCAACAATATGTCAATACGCCGTTTATTTCTTGTGGATTCTGGAGCCCATGTGTATCATTTATTTTGAATCAGTTTTCCAACTTTCCTAGATAGATCATTTGTGTCTACTTACCCAGTTTAAACCGTAGGCAAACATTCAGTCTTCGTCTTCACAATTTCAAAGATGAAACCTGGGCTGTGAGAAGGTAGTTTGTTGAACTTCGCTTGTAGTAGCTATATTCTCATAGCTATGTGACAGGATTTGTATAAGACTAATGGACTCTTGTCACCTTTGACCAAATAACGGTCTCTGGAGGCCTCCTGAAAGGTACATAGTTAGCGATCCTCATCATATCTATTTTTATGGAGAGAGATTTATTCTAAAAGTGGCAAATGACAAAAATTATACTTCTTGTAAAATACCACATAACAAAAACGTGACCAACATGCGCATTTTTCAAATGAAAGATTTTATTTATCATTCCAACTATGAATCTCAGATATTTTTATACTCTTTCATGAAGATGGTTTAGCATTGAGCGCTTCACTAACTTGCTAAAAAATATCATTAGCTCATGATTCTTCCTCGAAAACGAAAGCTTCATCAGAAAACTCATCCAACTTTAATAGCTCAACTTGTCCTACAAACTTACACCACTTTTTTCACAAAAGTGTTCAGTGTGCTGGTTCGTTCAGCAAATTTTCGTTCGCTTTTTAGAATTTTTATTATTACTGATCCAGTTGTAACTTGTTCTTTCATCTTACATGAATCACTTCAAAACTTGGGGCCGTTTTTGGTTATAAACATCACATGTCATGACTCCCAGCTCAGAAGTAGCTTTACACTGATGATGTTTAAGCACTTGATACGTAAAAGAGTGCATTCTGACTTTAAAATACTTAATCTAATGATTATAATGAACATCCGCCAAACGAATTCCCTGATCACCAATTGATAGCATTGGTTTCTGTTGAGTGATTAACCATTTCAGGTCTGTATGTATCCCACCAGACAAGTCAATCACAAATATGAAACGCATTGGGGAGCATTGATTGTTTCAAACTGACATTGGTTCTTGATGACGAAATTTAACTAGTCTGATACTCATAACTTCAAGGACACTCCGAATGTCTCTTAACAACTGAAATGATATACAGAACAAAATGATGTGTTATATTCTCAAGGTCACTTGATTTCATGAAATTTATCAAAGTATACATAACGTAAACTGAAAGTTCAGTATATAATTTATCTTCAGTGAGTTCGGATCTTATTTTCAGGTGTTATAAGATCCTGCAATAATAACTTCCGACAATGATATCATCCTTTTTCATTTATCCGCTTAATTTGTCTATAAAATATAAACTACTTATGAGTAGTTCAATATGTTTTATTCATTTTTTTCCGTCTCTTGATAGGATAAAGTTGTCTTGGTGAATTTTTTCATGCTTGTTGTTCTTACTGTATGGCATGCAATAGCTCGTGCTGTATCTGCTTCAAAACCAAAATTTTTAGAATATGAACATTATGTTATGTACAGTTTACTCAGTTGTTATTGTCTTGGTTCTGTGTTATTTGGGCTAACTGTTTATTTAGATGTAAGTTTACAAATATATATATATGTGCACTTATTTCATTGTTCCTAATAGTAATAATAATGACTAACAGTACAGTGTTATGAAGAATTAGAGAATATTACAGATAATCAATAGTTTTCTACATTTTAACGACTTATTTCTCTGTTGAAATCATCAATCAATCTTTGTTTGACCACTGGGCGAGTGGTTAGGCGTTCACACGCAAGAACGAAGTTCATGGGTTCGAATCCTGCGAGGTTCAGGAGTCATGGATGTGCACTGACACGGATGAGTCCCATAACAGGACGAAACGACTATCCAGTGCTTCCAGGTTGATGATTTGAATGTGCAACTAACACTAATCTGCATAACTCTAATTGAAAAATTATTTTTATATGATTGAGGCAGCTGTTGGTGATCTACTCACTGTAAAATACTCTGAAACTCCTGGAAAAAGTCACAGGAGGACTTTTCTAAAATTTATCTTACTTTTCATTCGTTCGGTCTGTCTGATAACTTATTTTCAGTGAAAATCACATCTAGTTGTTTGAAGTATTCTTAAACATGTTCAGGAAAAAATTCAGACATATTAAATGATACTACTGATATCTGTTAGTGAAAATAGTTGCATGGAATCGATTCATAGTGTACAAAAGAGGAAAAGACAATTTAGTATCATTCTGTTTACAAAGTCACTATCTACCAGTTATATGGATTTGGTCTTTAATTTGAACAACATAATAAAACGGAATATTAACTGAATTTCTACTGAAATTAGTCTGTACTAGCCACTTTCCAGTCGTTTACATAGTATAGGATCGTTGTAAGGAACGATTACGGCAAGATTAGATCAAATCAGTGGATTATTTGAATAAGATACAAATGACTGGCTAAAAGTGTACACATTATCTTTAATCTTCTATCCAAAAGGAAGGATATTTTTGGTCGACTTCTAATACGTGTCTTCTAATCTTTAAAGTGTCCTGAACGTTCCATACATCTGGATCATACACACTTCACTGCAAATCCACTTCATGCTACTTATAAGCCACACTGTGAGTAGTATACACAACATCATGAAACAATAGAATGATGAAATATCTAAAAAATGAGGAAAAATACCTTCGGAAAATGTGATGTGAATGTCAGTTTCAGATATATCTGTAAAAGCAGTGATTTCCAGTTCTGTGAAATGGACTCACCAACTATAATTTCATTTTTATCTGGTTTTAAATTGTGTTAGAAAGGTAACTGTTATGGTGGAGGTAACTGCGTTAGATTCATCGTGAGGCTCACGAATTTAGTGACCCGAGTGCTCAGTCCTTTATTTAAGAACGTTCAAATATGCTATGAAATAAATCTCCTATTCAATCTCCGTATGTCATACTTAGTCTAGCACCGTTTATGCGACTGCGGTAATAAGAAGCCAGATACGGATTCGGTTGGATGAGTTTATTACAAGCAGTCGTTTATGAAGGCATTTAGGGGGCAGGCGAGAAAGAAAAGCATACAGGCAAGGTGATGTGAAGTGGAGAGCCGGACAAGCCAACTCCATACTATGAGGCATGACTCCTTATTTATAGTCAGGCAAAATAACTTTTACACGTAATAAGCGAATTAAGCGGTGCACACACACACACTCCAATAGAGACAACTAAGATAAAAGCGTACAGCTGACGAGGTCAGGAGACGAATGAATATTAGTAACCAAGGCAGAACACTCACTACACTGCCAACCAAGTAGACAATACACCCATAGAGGAGAATAAGACTTCATCAAGCTGTTTCATGATTTGGTCGAGGTTAAATTTATTTACTTTTTAGATGGTAGCTCAGTGTTTTAGAGGTTAAATATTTTCAGTCATGACTGAAAACCCTTCATTTGATTCTCAGTAGCGGAGTCATATGTTATATAGTTAATCTCTGTCAACTATTGTCTTAATTTCAAATTAATTCTAACTCCAACTTTATTGAATCA